TAAAAATCAAGAAATATGCAAAAAATTCAGACAACTCTCCATTATGTTTTCTTTTTAACCCAAAACTAGACTCAACTTCCACACCTCTTTATCTCCTTGTCTTGTTCTTCGAAGGTATGGCCTAAAGTCATCCCCAAACCTTAAGAAATAGTAGTAGGAGACTAGTCTGTCCAAAGGCTTCCTTATCATGTTTATAAACAGAGGACTTTGGTAGACACCAAGTCTTTGAAAGTCCATATACGCAAGATGACCATGATAAACAGCTGGCATCCTCTGTTTCCATGTTGTAATGTTGCGAGCAAATCGCATCTGATCAGAAAGGGACATCACGTGAGAGTTTCGACTAACATTTAGGTGCAGAGTATGGAATTTGTTTGGACGGCAAAGACCATAAAGGACACCCATGAAAGATGTGCTGCCAGTCTTTGGAACTCTGTTGTAGAATATAATGATGCGATCATCTTCAGTTTGTGATCCGGTCTGCCCTCTGGTGGACACACCAAACTATTCACAGAGATAGAATGAAAAAGCAAGTCAAAAAATTTTGTTTTGAAAAAGGCAATTCTAAATAAAAGTGACAGTAGAGAAAATTGTGTCAACTCAATTCATTATCACCCAAAAGGCACAGTGGTATAATATCAACAAGAATCAATAGATCTATCTCGTTACTGTCTTTGAATTCAGAATTGAGGTCAGACATATCATTTTGATTCTTCAACTACTGCAATTAAGCAATCTGCATTCCTAAAAGGTTTAAGTGAAAAAATATCCTCTTTGCCAACATCACATGCACAATTGTACATGTAACCCCTTCAGGCAAGATACGTCAATTGGTAAGTGTAACAGCTGAGCACAGTGGGAGGTCACCATCCAATTATAGGATACAAGCCCTCCTGTTTATAAGCCTTCCTAAAACCCCTTACAAATTGTCTTAGCCCAGAGCTTCAATTCTAAGCATCAGCTTAGGGTACATGCATCTGACATAAGCAGCATTGGAGTATGTAGGAGCAGTCAACCCTTCCTCCCCAATGACACTTCCATACTAGATGCATTACTGTACTTACAAACAATACTGAGCACAGCAATTTACAAAGGATACCAAATAATTCTTTAGAGAACCTGATAAAATGCTGTTCAATTTCAATACATTTTTAAGCAGAAGGGTCATGATGGATGAGAAAAATTAATAACCAAGGGAGAATCTGTGATCAAACACAAAATTCTCAGATCTAAAATTATACAAGAATTTTGTACTGCAAATAGTCTAGAGGATTTATATTTAGACCTATGGAATAAGATTGTTAAAGCTCTAGTCAACATACATCTCATCCAGATGTGGTAGAATCAAACCAGCCTAAGCTTGACTACTGGGAATGCCAGTTTCACATTTACACTTAATAAGCTTACACCAGAGCAGTCTAATGGGAGCAGCGCATATACTGGGTACTTGATGTTTCTTGCAAGACTCTTCCAAATCAAGGAACATTTTGTATGATTGCCTCACAATTTCCTGTTCAGCTTCAGCAGTATGTTCATTAGATGTTAGAATTTGGAGAATTCTTCACCTACTTTACAAGACTCTCCCACTAAATTCCAATGGATTTAACCCTCTGGCTCCCATGAGTGACCAAGAAAGAATTTCTCCTTGTATACTATCAGGATTATTAGCTGATCTGATACCAAATTCTCAAAACCAACAACATAAGGTTATAGGGCAGACAGTAAGGAGAATGACTAAGAAGATTTTGGAAGTGAAAGGGTAAAGATGCAGAGAATGCTCTCCTTTACACTTTCCACTACCCTAATGTTATTAAAATAAGTTGGCCATGATATTGGCCCTGTAGCAAATCAATCGAAAGGGCACAAATGTTACCTCATAATTGTTTTCAAATTGACGCCTCTCTCTCAAAATATCACTAGACTGCAAACTCCCTGAGTACTCTACAAATAGGAACGAAAATAAGCCTTAAAAGAAAGAAACATGTTAAGAACATGAGAAATTACAACCAGGTCAGTGATAAACTATTGTAAGTTACTTGAGAAATTGATGTCATTAGAGCAAATTGGATACTAGTGGTAGACAAATGGCATGTGACCTGTCATTTACCCTTGTCCCTTATACTTCCTTTCCATTAATCAGGATTGGATGATGTTATTTATGCAATAATTTACAGTATAACATAAAAAAGAATGCATGATCTATCTGATGGAAATGGATGTCACTCTAGCAGTCTATGTTTTCCCCAGGTTTGGATATTCTGAGACCTTTTTTGGTTGTTTGGAGAGTTGTAAGGCTAGTTGAAATTAGTTAACAGTAAAGCTGGTTCAAATGGGAGGCATATGGCTTTTGAAAATGGAAAGAGGATTATTTTAAACCTGCCAGCCACAAAATGTTATAATACAATTAATATAAAAATGATACATAGCATCTCATCATAGTTGGCTGCTTTCTAGTTATTGGACGTTTACAAGTACAATGTATTTTGGTTTAGAACGTTTAATCTATAAACAAAACATAAAAACTGTTAAGACGGTAATCATGACTGACAGTGGAAACGTACTTCTTTCGTTTAATCCCAAATGTCGACTCTTACGAGCTAAGGATATAGAACGGCTGCCTAAACCAATTATTTTTAAGTAATTCAACTCGGAGCCGGCATCGTCAAAGAATCAGAGGTGCACATTTCCTTGAAGGAAAGCATTTTACGGTGGTGATACGGGAAGTTTGGAGATTTACTTATGACACAAATAACAATACTCCATTGTCTCTCGATGTGACTGATAATCACAAAATACAGAAAGGAAAGAAAGGAGAATGAACGATTCCACAACAACGTTCCAGCAAAACAAAAACTCAAAATGTCAAACTGTAGATTACAGGAATACATGTGTTTTCAGTCATAATACGATTCCAGAAGTTGCAGGGCATCATGAAATTATTTTCCCGTAAGACTTTCTACAAAAGGGGTCTATAAATAAAACAAGAGGAGACATTGTGCGTCTAACTAAGTTGATTTCTCCTACCATAGTAGCGATGATGCCCTGGAATACTCATTTGAAGAATTTGCATTTCAAGAATAACGAATGCGACAATAAAAGCCACTACCATCCATTTGTTGACGATCATTCTTCCAACGACAAACCCGGGAATTTTCAGAACAACCATACACGCTTAACAAATTCTGGAAATTCTGGCCACATAAGCTTATGTCAGGAAGCGACGGATAGCTTCGATCGCACGCGAAGTAACAGCATACTGCATGCAAATTTAGAGCATCGACTTAGCGTTTATTATTTGGGAGGAATCTGGGGCGAGCTGTACTACTAGTCATCTCCAGTTTTCTCTCTCACATTTAGCCCACTATCGCGCGAAACTTGAAACAAATCTGCGACAATTTCCTCAACCTGGGAAAAGAAATTTCTACAAATCAATCTGAAAACAATTAATTTAGACGAGCTAAGTGATCATCCAAACCTAGAAGATCAAAGGAAGGCACAGAGGTAAGATTTCAGGGAGCATTTGGGAAACGTTGCTAAACCGCCCCAAAGGAACGCCTGGCACAAATCTGTCGACATTTTTAACCAAATTTAAATGCATTTGCCAACCTCCAGATCGTCTTTGTTCTAGATCTGTTAGCCTTGAGGTGTATGTTTTTTATTGCAACGAGCAAACTCTGGAATGGCTTAAGATATATTAAGCTGGGAAATGAGGCAGGTAGCTTAAAAGCACTGCGCCAATATTGAGGCTTAAGAAAATTTGTTCTACTTTTGAGTGAAATTGGTGGTATTTCTACTTCTAAAAGGCTCCCCTTCCCTCTGGTTTCACCGTGCACTTGACGGAATTTGTCTCTATTGAGACTGATTTGTCCAACCAAAGACCAACCAAACATGAGGGAACTATTTTCCTGCTTTGCACAAGAGAGTCCAGAGGGCTGTGGCCGACGAGACATTATGTACAAACGTTCTATGCTCCACTCATTTTTAAACCTTCGCTGTACCATTCAAAATTCAGTTATTTAAAAGCCAATTCAACGCAGTGTTATGGATTAAAATCAAGCGAGGACAAAAGGTTTTCTTATTATTGTTATCTATTCATTCGTGTATTTCTCATTAATTAATTAATTAATTAATTAGTTGTTATTTTGTTTGTGGGGGGGGGGGAAGGGGGTCACGCAATGGTGTCTCTGACTACTCCTCAAAAGCCTGACAAAAGAGAATTTCAACAAAAGGGTGGAGTCACTAGTTAGTAGGCAGACGGATAGGATTTGTATATCAAAGGTTATTGTGAAGTGAAATGTCCGCTTTCGACTTAGAAAGATCGAGATATACACTGCTTCGCCACTGGTTTTGTCCACATTATCATGTTTGTGTCTTATTGCTTTCATGCTTGACTTCTGATTTATTCCAGAGTATTTTCATCGTGTAAGTTTCCTTTTCATTTGCATTATGGCGCTTCCCTTTCTCTCGAGATTTATCATTTGTTTCAAAATTTGTGTTGTGTTTTAAGTTCAACTAAAAGTAATGTTAAACTAAGGTTTACTAAGGAAGTGGTTTTACTTGACAACGTAAGAGCTTGAATCAAGACGACGGTTTTATATCTGTTTGTTGCACACATGTTCATCAGCGATGGCTGTTACGTCCGCTTACTGTCTTACGATTTCTCGATGACGAAGGCTGTATTAAAGAGCTGTCAACGTAGTTTGTATCCTCAACTACTTTCTAACCTTGCATCACCGGCCCAACTAACTGTTCAAGGACTAAACTCCTCATCCCGAATCGTACATTAGGTTTGTAAATTTCGGTCCTTTACAGGTTTTAAGACAACACGCACAGAAAATCGTTATTCGTAGATAGGAAAATTCAAGTTTGAACTTTGTAATCCTTGGGAACCAGCATGAAATACAAAAATAAAAAACAAAGAAGGTGAAATCCATTGACATTGCGTCATTAACTGAATTTAGTAATAACTCAGAAATCGCTTATTGTGTGGGTCTGAATTTTTTTCTTTAACCGACATTTGCCAGTTGTGAAGCTTCAAAGAATGGGTATGCCATGAATATTAACCTCGTCACGTTCAACTGAGGAACAAATGCTCTATGTGGGATAAAAATTGTTGGACCAGATTGCAATTCAAAGTCCAATTCACCACTGTTTACATGACGGCTCAAACTACAACATGTACACGTAGTTTTACCTCTGAACTTTGGTACATTTTTCACGAGCAACTTTTACTCTGATAAAATGTATATATGAAGTTCATATATTTTGAACTGCGGTATTAGATTCGTATGATGCACGATCCTCGCAGTAGATAGCGCTATTTATGCAATAGCGAAAATCAGACCTGAAAAAAAATTTTTCAGGTCTGATTCTCGCTATTGCATAAATAGCGCTCTCTACTCCGAGGATCGTGCATCATACGTAACTCTTACTCGATTTTCATTAGGCGTGACTTGGAAAATTATTTCACAACAGTTGAACCAGGGCCTGGATGTTAAAAGGGGCGAAAAATGCCATACAATGGAAAAATCGCTATACAACGCATAGGATTTAACAAAATGTACTCTACTATTCACCGGATGGAGATTTATCTTATGGAAAGTGTTGTCCATCTTTCGAGAAAACCAGGCTAGTTGTTAAACACAGTTGTTTTACTTCTTATAGAATTGTAATCAAAGAAAGCAATTTACAGATGACGGCAGCAATGTATCTCACAAGAGTCAATCATGATACTGCTTTTCAGTTTTTTGTGGTAACACAGCGCCGATTTAATCGTTAGTAAACATGGTATAGATCGAATAGTAAGTTTATTTATTGTTTATTTGTGTTGTGCCGCTTTAATATCCTTACAGTTTCTAAAGCCAGTGATCACTTACTTCCGCTTTTCAATTTGTTTTCCAAAAAAATAACATATGAAAGGTTCTGTACTTTAGCGAAAAATTACCCGTTTTCCGGAGAAAAGCTTATGGAGCGGCTCTCAGTCGGTTATCCTGGAGTTTTATCACAAATCCCTCTTTTAGCTGCATCGTCTTTTCATTACGTGGTTTTTTATATACATTTAGGCAATTTGCGGAGACCTTTGATTGCAGTTATGTCATACCTAAATTCAATAACTCATCTCCTTCCTTCATAAATATATAAAAGTATATTTATCAGTTGTGCACGTGAAAGGAAGTACATTTCCACTGATGAGTTAATATTTCCATAGAAATCTAATTGTATTAATATAGCAAGGAAATTGGATACCTAGCTTTGCAGTATTTTTATCATTATTAGACATCATCTTGCGAGATTCTCAATTTCCGGAAAAAAGCCCACTAAAATGTACAAAGTATGTGCTAATAAATTTACATCTGACAACCGGCACGGGAACAATTTTAATGGTGCTATCTAGCTTACAGAGGAGAAAAAAGGATCTAGGTGAAAAGAAAAAAACTTTTTCAAACATTTAGTTATCCTAGAATAATGCAAAGCTGTTTTTTTTTTTTCAACTTTCACAATTTGGCGAAGGCTTAATTTATTTGTGAAATGTTTTTCGAAGTTTAAATATTTTAAACTTGCAGCGCCCTGTGCGGTAATGAGCATGCTAAATGGCTTGGCGCTCGTTACCTAACAGATGGGCTTGACTCTTTTTTTTTTTCAACAAAACATAAGGGAAACTTCCGTAAATACTCATTGCTATGAACTGAACAAATATTTGGCGCAAGGGGATGATTCCCCGAAGATGAAACTGAGTAAATTTAAAATTTCAAGTTTTCAGTATCGATGCGATTATTTACCAAGAAACTAGGCGGAAACACGACAAATAAGGTCATTTGTGACTTCTCCATGACGGCGTTTTGCTTTTCTTGTCGGTTTTCTCTCTTGTCTTTTTAGACAAGACTGTAACGGGTTTTATACGTGCGACTACCTTTAAACTTGACAAGAATTCGATCGGCTTTTTTTATTATCATTATTTCTGAGCAGAACGTCCCACCATAACATCCTAGAAGAACTTAGAAGAATGGCTTCAGAATATCTTCAAGTTTAGAGATAATCGTTAATCGTCTTGAACATGTTAAAATGTGTAACCCAGTCTGAAAGAGATGCTTCAATTCTGTCACTAGGTTTCCATACAACGATTTGGTGGATAAAAACGTGTTTGTGCTGACGGTAACACCTGTAGAGTGTAACGAAAATGTATACAGCCTGTATTGGATGCAAAAACAACAGCAACTCAAAACGTAGTGACACGTCTGATTACACGAACCTTATTTCGCAAAGATCTCTAGCTATAAATACAGTTTAATTTTTCTTTTTGGTACGGGCTTAGCCCATTTGAAGATGAAGCAAACCCTCATACGATGCGTCAAAGGGCACTTTTAAAAATAGAGAAATAAATCGCATTTGTCATGAAAATTAACTTGAATGTTGAACGAGATCATCCATGACTTCATTGAGTTTGGCTGTTCTCCTGTCAATACTGATACCACGTTTTTTCCTTATGTTGAAAAATGACCAGCTATTTATTCATTTATGCTCTAGAGAGGGAACTATTCTTTAGCAGTAAAGTGATGCCAAACAAATCTATTATTACAATGGTCAACGGACGTTTCAATTTTTAAGTAAAAAAAGTTCACACTTCTAAAGCATGACCACTTTGGGAGGAGAATCCTAAGGCGAATGGGACTTTTTTTTTTATTGTGTTGGAGAATTACTCAACACAGACGTTTCTACGTAAAAATTAGTCCTTTTATTCACTGTCTGTATCCTTTATTTCTTCAATCTTTATTATATTTTATTCTCAACGTGTTCTTTCCAACCCTCTGTTATCTACATACGTTGTTTTAACAAACCTCAATAATTAACTGATTCACTTAACTGAGAATGGATCAGAGAACAGTGCTCATGTTGCAATCAGTCTATTTTCCTACCTTCCATCAGCAACTCAGATAAGCGTTGTTGTCTATCTACCTTAACCTTTGCTTTTGAAGCACCGATGGATATGTCCTTATCTACTGCTGATAAAAACCGGCCAGTATTCTGTACCCCAGCAACCTGAAATTGAGCATCCTGTTTTCTCGCACGTTTCCTTCCTTCCGTTTTGCCAGAGGCTGTTCTGAATGTTAGTAGTTCAATGAATAATTTAGTTATCTTCGTTAGCGATAAAGACTGCGCAAGTGAAAT